GGGAGGGAGAGAGAGAGAAGAGAGAGAGAAAGAGGAGAGAGGGAGGAGAGAGAGAGAGGGGAGAGAGAGAGCAAACAAGGTTTTGGAGGTTCCAGTCCATGAACAAATGACTGTTTTCGAAACTATGACAGCATAGTACGTCACATAGTACGTCACGGTTAGGAGCAGGTGGAAGAGCAAAGCCACTCATCTCAGGGCTTGAAAGTCAAAGAGGGAAAAGAATGGAGCTGGGGTCCTCTGTCCCCTCAGGGGTACAAATTCAGTGACCACCAAGTCCTGAAGTGTGGCCACAGGATGGCAACTGAGCCTTCAGAACAAGGCCCATTGTGACAGTTCTGCAGCACAGGGGTCAGTGTTGGTGGCCCAGCGACGGTCCCTGCGCTTGCCTGAGCTGAGGGTTCCTGGAGGGGAAGCTGGGAGGGAAGAAGGGTCGTTCTCTTTTCCTAGCACGGGTGATGCTAAAGCCAGGATGACATGGAGTAGCGTAGAACATCTCCCCAGGTCACCTGAGGTCACTCCAGTGACCGAGTGGAAAGCTGCCGGAGCGGGCAAAGCCAGAGATGGAAATCCCAGACAGGGGCCAATCCCCTGTAAAAAAGAGAGGCAGTCTTAGACTGTGACAGTCCCAGAAGTGGAGAGGCGGGACCTGATTCGAGAGCTGGTTAGAACACCCACAGAACTGTGTGTCTGTGCCTCAAGATCAAAGAATTAAGAGAGTCAAGGTTGGGGTAGCAGTGTGACAGGCTGGACAGGGCCTTGAGGCTTCTACAGTGTGCCCTCATACCCGGCCCTCCTTTGTACCACGGTGTGATCTTGGGCCCAATTTTGCAAATCTATAGGACAAAGACACTAAAATCAATCTTACGGTTGTGGTATATATCAGAGATCATGTATGCTAAAGGCCTAGCCCAGGGCTTGCCTCACAAGGACTCAATAAGCAGTCGAGGTAACTACCATCATTTCCCTACCCAAGAAACATTTATGACGTGCTTGCTGTATGTAAGATACTGGGTCGTTGGGCTCAGCCCATTCTCACACGACTCATTGTCTACTGGGAGAGAGGTGTGCAGTGGGACTGTCACATGCCGAGACAACGTTGGCTGGGGCAGAGGACAGAAGCCTTATTCTGCCCCAGCATCCCTTGACAAAGGACAATGACAGCGTAAACAATACAAGGCCAGTTGCCTGGCTCGAGACTGTCAAATCACCCCAGCTCCATTTGGGAGTTCCATTCAGAATTTTGAAGTCACCCCTTTAAAGGGGGCGATTTCAAAAGGTCTTAGAGGGACTCACGGCTGCAATCCCAGCTCCTCCGAAGGCTGAAGCAAGAGGACGAAAAGTTCAACACATGTCTGGTCTACATATGGAGTCCAGTCCAGTCTGGGTGTCTAAATAATACAAAGGGCTGGGGTATAACACAGTGGTAGAGTGCTTGTACAGCAGGCATAAGGCCCTAAATTCCATTTCCAGTACCAATAATAAAAAGAATAATTGTAAAATATAGAGTCATTGTCTCAGCTGGTGTGGTGACCCCGACACCGGGGATGCAAGAGGATTCAAGGAGCTGGAAGCTAGCTTAGACTACTCAGTGAGATCTTGTCTCCAAAAACCTAAATGAAGGCAGCATCGGTGGCTGCAATGGGTATCTAGACACACAGAGAATGACACACAGAGCGTCAACAGTCCCAGAGAAAGTCCCAGGAAAAAGGCTTAGCTAGATTAAGAGTGAAGGTCTGATGTGTCAGGGCCCCAGCTGGGTCCTGAGTATGCCGTGGGCACTTCATGTCCATCCAGGCATAGGAGCTGACAATGTGACGCTTGAGACACCCTCATCTGCTCCCCATCTGTGTCCTTCCGAGACTTCCTTCCAAAGCTTTCTCTGTCCTCCCTCAGTTATGGCAGTTTCCTTGCACACATCTCTCCAGACAGTTCGGCAGCTGCAGCACTACCTGGCACCTCCCACCAAGGCAGGACGGCCATTCTGCTAGCCTTTGATCAAGACCTCAGGCTGTAATGCCCCAAAGACTGTGTGACCTTGGCTTGTTCTAGCTCTGGCTTGTTTTCTATCTGTGCAGGAGATGGTAACAGGCCCTCTCTCATGAGGCTCTGTGAGTTCAGAGAGATGTAAACTTGGCACCCGACACCCCATCAATATTCCTTCCCTTCTCTGCAGCCCATGTGTCTCCATCCTTTCAGAGGATCAGACAGCAGGCTCTCAACTGGGAGTGTTCCCAGCAGCCCAGCTCCTGGGGTCTTTCCTTCAGCATCCCCTTCCTCCTATCTGGGAGAACTTGGAGTATTCCTGGGAGGCCCGGGGTGGTCCTTGCAGCGGCATGATTCGGGCAGACCTGAGCAGCAAAGGGTGAGGGTGAGGAGCAGCCCAACTCCCCCCTTTCTGTTCTGAGCTCTGAAGATAGGATGGTGTCCTGAGGTGCCTGAGGGATATGTGGGGGATCTGGAAACTGCTCTCCCTCACAGACTGTGTGGGCAGCACATTTGAATAATTTCTGTAAACCCAAAGTTCAAGCTTGTTCCCCTTCTTTCCCCAGAAGGCGACAGGGAGAGCTTGGCCAGCTGTGAAGCTCTCTGGTGTGCACGTGCGCGTGTGTGTACACACACACATACAGACACACACACACACATACACACACACACACACACACACACACACACACACACACACACGTAGGTGGTCTCCAGAAGCCCTGCAGGGACCCTTGGAAGGCTGGAGACCCAAGCCTTCCATGAAGATGCGAGCCTTACTCTACTTATCCAGGGCCCAGTCTCAATTTTTCTCTTCAGCAGAATGGTGCAGTAGGAATGTCCATATCTTGGGGGCATCAGGATTTAAAGAGCCATTTTAATTCCTGGTCATTATTTTCCAATGATGTGCAGAGATAGGGAATAATTTGCAGAAAAATGTCATTCCAGTGTGATTTCAGCTGAGTTGAGGATTTTTTTTTTTTATCACTGTATCAGGTATCCCATCCTGCTTTCCGCATTGTGCTAAATGCCCAGGCATGGGTATGTTCATGTATGTACACATACAGACACACACACACACCACACACACACACACTCCTTGCATAACTACTCTAGACTGCATTGGAATGACAGCTTCATCCCCAGAGGGCTTTGCGACAGGGTAGACACACCTGTCTTGTTGACCCTGGCAATCATCAAATTAGAACCCCACCCCTGCATTCAGCAGCAGTCCCAACACTTACCTCTCTCTCCCTCTCCCTCTCCAGATTGATGCATTACCATGGCAACAAAGCCATCCCACAGAGCCTGAGTAAATGGGAAGGTGTCCCTTAGCAACAAGGCTGGAGCAGTGGTTGGGGAGGATGCTGGTGAGGTTGGCGGGGAGGGCAGGCCACTGAGAGGATGTCCCGGCAGGGTCCAGAGGAACAGTTCTTGGAGCTGGGTCTGGGGCTTGCCCATTCCTGGAATGGGGCTGAAGATTCGTCCCTGTATTACAGGGATGTACAGTCACTTTCCGACTTGGGAGCTACAGATTCTTCTTCTCAGAAAACCTCAAGAAATTGAAAACTTTTGGGAACAAGAGTTGATTGATTGCTAGGAAGTCGTAAGCCAAACCCTTGGACTCATCGCGTAAGTTCACTTTAGAGCTGGCCTCAGGTCCAGTAGGAAACATCTACTCAGTTATGTGCCCTGTGAAGAAGCCAGGTATTGGTTTCAGATGTGAGAACGTCCTGGTGAAAGCCCGTGGACATATCCAGGAGAGTATTGAGTGGGCCAGGAGGTGGGAGACGAAGGTGCCTCACTGCCCCGGAGAGGCCAAAACCTGAGGGCTGCACTTGGAAACTGACCCCCGACTTTCACCGCTTACAACTCTTGCTTCAGTTGGCCACCAGAGACTGTAACTAAAAACAGAGCTCTGACAGCGGCTTCCTCCGCCCAGCAGCTTCCAGCGGTTCTTGGTAGTGGCTTGGAGTCACCAAGTCTGCCTTTGGAATCTGATGGCCCCCTTACCAAAGTCAAAGCCATAGAAGCACAGCCTTTTCATTGTCGGGGGCTGTGGGCCTCTTCAAGCTCAAGCAGGGACTTTGTCATAGAGACATGACACACCAGGTCCTTTGTGACCTGTCCGTGCCTTCCTCCTCAACTCCCCTGGACTTTCTCCCTCTTACAGTGCATGTCCAGGTGCATAAAACTATGTCCACCTCCCTGGTGTGCAACTCTACCGCTTTCATTCCTACCTGCTAGGGAAGCTTTCCCCTTCCCCCCTAGACTACTAGACTCTTGTTCATTCTTTGAAGTCCAGCTCAGTTACTGTCTCCCTGGTACATATGGCCCCTGATGCTGTGTAGACAGGCTTGATCTCTACCTTTCAAGCACAGGGTCTCTGTGTGTCTTTTACTGGGTTGTGAGTCGCTCAAGACCAGAGACTGTGTCTTGTCCCAGTATCCAGTACAGAACAAACAGGGATTCTCCAGAATCTGGAGAACCAAGATGGTAGAATTGAAGAACAAGAGCTAACCAGAGAAGAGGGGGAGCAAACGAGAAGGTAGGACAAGAGCCAAGAGGAGGGGAGGCAGTGAGGGGAGTCGGAAGGAGCGCATGGTCCAGGCTGTTATATGACCACAAGGCAGCACTGGAAACTCTGGGTAGGTGGCCTGTTGCCTTGGTTTGCCCAGGATGTGCTCTGTCCTGGCGTGAAATGGGCTTGATCACCTGATTGGTGACCTTTTCCAGGGCAGGTCTGGAACTAGGAGCAGGCAAGAAGCCGGAGTGCTAGTCTAAGAGGTGAATGGAGGGCGGGGAAGGAAGACTGAGGGCATTGCCAATGCTAAGTCACTCAGACCTAAAGGAGGAGGAGCCTGACAGTGTGCCAGCCTCCCAGGCTGTCTCCTGCATTCTACCCTGCAGAGAAGGCAAACAAAGCCAATTGCAGGACATCCTGTTCACGCTTAATGGCTTCTTCCTTAACGCCAGGCCCCAAGCCCACTACCTGGGTCCCTCAACTTATCCCGCCACTGCCCCAGTCCCCAGAAGACAGTGGCCCTGTGCCTTCTAACAGGCTGGACAGGCACCTGGAGGCTTTATTCAGCTTGCACCGTGGTTCCTGCTTAGATTAAGGCAGGTCTTCTCTGTAGACGTGTTGTCTAGAATCTCATTTGGGGGCTGGAGTGTGGCTCAACAGTAGAGCGATTACTGGCCTGCTGAATGAAGGCTTTGTGTTGCATCTGATCCCAGCACTATGCAAGCACACACACATTGCATTGTATAGATGACCCAGCTTGAAAACAGGGATGGGCCTCCCCGTGTCCCTCACCTGTTTTCTTCCCTTAATAGATACTAACTGCTACTTTTTCAGTAGTCGAGCCCTTCTCCTGGGGCCCCAGTCTCCTGACCTCCTAAGGGTGGGGAATGTTACAAATGTTACACCCTGAGCTTAGGAGGGCTCTAGATGTGACTTCAGCGCTTTGTAAAAAGTTTCCAAACCCATCCTATGGACTACGAAAGAGGGACATATGAAACACAGGGGCAAGAGACGCATTCATCTAAGAAGAGGGCCTCTGCACACTAGCGTGCTAGAGCAGACCTACCAGCTTCCGGTCTATCTGTGTGATGAACTGCTACTTTGTGCCTCGGTCTCTTAGTCTGTAGAATGGGTAGAATAGTGCCATTCTTCTGGGGTCATGTGCTGGCAGATGGACAGTGACTGAAAATAGCTCAGTGTGGTTCTTGGAATATGTAAGGCACTGTCCTCTGAGACACACTGCCATCATTTCCCTGAGAGTCCACCGTGTTCAAGACCTGTGGACCATCGGCAGGTGGGGAGGGCCGTTGAACCAACCACCCTCTCAGCCAATCATACGCAGTTCTGCCCAAATTATATGCAGGCTTGGGGTCTCAGGCAGGGACCAGAGAAAGACTAGAGGAGAGGGGTTCATCTATGCAGCTCTGAGGAAAGGTCATCCATGCTGGGTACAGACCTTCCAGTCCAGTTGCTTTGGGGGTCACCTGTGCTCCTGTCAGGAGCCCCCCCCCCTCCATGCTGTATGAGCCAATCGGAGAAACTCATTGGATGAGCTTTGGTGGAATCTAACTTTGGTTTGTCACTGGGACATCAGAAGGAGAGAGCTGGTGTTGTTTACATTCCCCCCCAGGGAAGGAACTTTAGCTTTTAGTGACAGACTAATGAATCATCAGCTGTTGTCAGTGTTCAGAGAGAAAATTTTTCTGAGGGTCTCAGAAGGTTCTAAGAGCTTCCCCCTGTAGGTGACAGACACCCCCCACGTACAATGTGGCAGCCTCTGAGGCAGGTGCGGAGGAGGAATTGTTGGAGATGCCTTTGAGATCCTGACTTTCCTCTCTGCGGCATCCTGTGCCAAACAGTGTCCAAACAGGGACTGCTCCGAACAGCCGCGTGGAGTTAGAGGCCACTGAACTCACCCACTGTGCCACTGAAAAGCGTGCTATGTTGCAACACGTTGAGAGAGATCAGAACTCAAACCCCCCGACCCCTCAGTTGAGTCAGAAAAAGTCCAAGAGGCTTTGGCTCTGATGAAGCTGAAGCTGCTTCACCGCCACTGCAATCAGGCCCCTAAATTACAGAGCCCACCTGCCAACCGCCTGGCACCATCTCATTAGACGGGTGCCGGGAGAAGGTGCCATATGCCCTGTGGGAGCACCTGACCGCCAAGTTCCTGCTCCATAATTAAACCCAAAACCCCAACCTCACCCGCTCCTAACCCACCTCTCAGGAAGCAACAAAGTTGCCTCCCCTGCTGCAGGCAAGAGAAACTCAAGGTGAGAATCATGAGCTTCCAGCCTGGCCCTCCCATGACTATGGGGTTCCGGGAGACTTGGGGAGATCAAGTAAAATAGAGGGAGCCCCACATCTTGCCACATGGCTACCCAGAACCCAGCAAAAGCCAGGGGGACACACTGACTTCCAGGGTGTCCACCTTCTGAGGTGTCCACCTTCTGAGGGTGGACTTTAGGAAGTGAGGTCCTAGAAAGAGGCATGGTGGGGCACTGAGAAGGCTCAGAAGGTAAAAAGTCCTTTTCATGTAATCTGATCACATGATATCCATCTCCAGGGAAAAGGAGAATCAATCAACCCTGGCAAAGTGTCCTCTGAATTCCACACGTGTGCCATGGCATGTATCTGAGCGTGTGCGCACATGCACACACACACACACACACACACACACACACACACACACACACACACACACACACACACACACAGGGGCGGAAGTAATCCTGGCTCAAAGTTTGTCCTAGAACAGTTACGCACACCCACATACAACCTCACCTCCCTCCCCACTCCACTGAAAGATGCTTGGATGACAGTGACCGACAGAGTCAGCTGGAATACTCAGAGCCTTCTGGCCAGAGCTGTGTGAGACGTGTCTGGCTGACAGGTTCACAGATCATCCTGGCGTGGAGGCAGATGTGTGGTAGGAGAAATGGATTGGCAGGCAAGGCCCCTCCCTAGAGAGGCTTCCATAGAGACAGAGTGGTGGGCTGACCAGACAGTGGAGAGGTACCAAGCGATTAGCTTGGCATAAATGCCCTCATGGCTCCAGCCAGCCATGACCACTAGCCATAGAATAGAGAAATGGACACGGCTAGCAGTCCTATGCAAATACTGCTGCCCGGGGTGAGGGTATGGGGCTGGAGGAAGGTCAGCAGCCCAGGCTGGGAAGGAAGCACCTTTTCCCCATCCTTACCCCGAGTTCTCTGCGCTCCTGTCTGAGCCTCCTGGGCTTGCATGATGCCACGTTGCATGTTCTAGCTCTGGGTTTTATGGGAAAAACAGAACTATAAAGATAAAAGATGTGAGTGTGGCTTTTTTTTTTTTTTTTTTATCGAGACAGGGTTTCTCTGTGTAGCTTTTGTGCCTGTCCTGGAACTAGGTCTTGTAGACCAGGCTGGCCTCGAACTCACAGAGATCCACCTGCCTCTGCCTCCTGAGTGCTGGGATTAAAGGTGTGCGCCACCACCCAGCTCAGCTAGCATTTTATATTAAAGTCAAGCACTAGATTGTGCTCATCTCCTAGCCAGAGCCCAGGAATTTGTCTCTGCTGTTACAGCCAGGAAGTGCTCAGAACCCTCTCCAGCCCTGCCACTCCCCAAAGTGATGCTGGCTCTGTTTGGCACCTTGCCAGTGCTGATTTTGCCCTCCACCCCCAATCTGGAGATGGAGCGGTACAAACAGCCTTGTGGTCATGAGTCATGGCCTCTGAGGGTTAGCACAACCCAGAGAAATGCCTAGGCAGGTTGTGTCCTCTTACCACTTGTTCAAGTCCCAGCTGTCGGGCAGGACTGGGTCCAGCCAGACGGGGACCAAGGGCCAATGGGAAAGATACTGTCTGAGGCCCCGCATTAGAGAGACAGCAGGGTGTCTCTGCAGTCACACCGAGTGAACCCAGCCCTGGGAAGATTGTAGTCTGGAGTTGTTGCTGATTTTCCTAATTTCCTCTCAAGCCAACTTCCCCTTTTCCTGCAGCCTAGGAGGCCCTGGGGCCCCAGCACAGCCAGGTGTGGCTTGAGTGATCACAGGGCCTGTAGAACAGGGAGGGGCGGGCAGGGGTCAGCATCTGGGGTCATCGTGGACAGGCAAAGGGCACTGAGGAGTGAGGAAGAGGAAGGGGCCTAGCCTTATATCGGGTTTCTTCTGGGATGAGCCATGTGACCCAGTACTGTGAGCCACTATAGTTTCCCCGGAGTAGAATCTGGCTACATGGTGTGGCAGATACCAGACCTACTCACTGGAACCCATCTGAGTGATCAGCTTGGTCCACGGACCTTCTGCCTGAATGATTCAGGCATGTCTGAATGTGCGGTCACTGACAGGTGACCAAACAATGGTGGCGTGACCGGGTACAATACCTAAAATACCAGGCCGTCCTGAATCAGACAAGTGCCAAATGGACTGGCAAGAAACCAGCCCCTCCAGAGGCCTGCATTCCAAGTGCCCAGCCCAGCCTCACAAGTTGGTGGCACCAGACAGAGGCTC